AACAGAGATAAATGGATTTTACTCAGTCGGCACTTTATTTTATATTTGAAAAGAGTGAACATTTCATCATATGGCCCTTATTGCATGGCAATCAGCCCTGTTCTGATCTGGGCAGCATTCGTTCCCCTTACTTACAATAATGGAAAGTAGTCAGAGTCAAAACAAATTACAGACAGTAACATGTTATGAATAAACCTTGAGAAAGAATCTGATTTGTTATGGGAATAAGTATGTCTTCTCTACAAACACCCCTCACTCAGGCGTTGTGTGGCCTTGCAGGTTGAACAGACTGAGTGAAAAACTTTCTTTCAGTGGATAAATTGCATAAATCAATATATAAAATAAGAGAAATCAAAAATTTCCAACCACACTACTTTTACTTACAGTTATCAGTAAATAGGTATGCCTTTTTGCTACCATTAAAATATTTTTATTATATCAGTCAGATTGAGAATAACCTGAGTTAATGAAAAATCAGTATTCATACTCTTACTTCACATATTGAGAAAAAACTGTTTAAAACAATGGGGCAATGTGTCAAAAAGTAATCTTCCTGCCAAACCTAATTGCTGGTTGAGCCCACCCTTTGTATCGCTGACTTCTGGTCTAAGTATTTGAAATAACTGGCAGTAAGTCACTTATTTCACTGTGGACGACTCCTCATTGCAGAATTTATTAAATTCAGTCACAGTGGGTCGTCTTTGACTAGGAATTGCATGATAAAAATACACCAAAAGTGTCTAAGCTGGATTTACTTTGACTAGACCATTAAAACACTACCACTTAAATAGGATGTACACACAAAGAAGAAATTGGTGATACGCCTAGTTTAAGGAAAAGAAAGAAAAAACAATGGACACAGAAAGAATTTGTATCAAACTTCTACGAAAAAAAAATAATAAAAAATGAGCGTCAGGCATTACTTTTCTTCCATGCTTCAATAGAATGATTTTGAAAAATAAACTCAGGAAACAGGCCTGGACAGTAATTATAGTACCACTAGGAAATACTTAAACGAATCTGGCCAGAGAGACATGTTACATCATGTGTGTCCAATAATGAGCATCACTGGTGTCTACAATCCTGTAGTCAGTCAGTGGGGCTTTATGTAGGCTACAGGTAGTGACTGTGCTGTTTGATGACATGGTGTGTACCACACTCAACAAGGAACAGAGGAAGCAAAGGAAAGAGTTGAAAGAAGTTATAGACAAGCATGTTAAAGGTAAAGGCTATAAGACCATGTCCAAACAGCTTGACGTTACTATGAATACAGTTGCACATATTATGCAGAATTTTAAGATCCAGAGGACTGTAGTCAAATTCCCTGGATGCGGCAACAGGAGGAAATTTGATGACAAATCAAAGAGACGGATAATGAATGGAACTAAAAGAGCCAGAAAAACCTCTGAAGAGATTAAAGGTGAACTTCAGGCTCAAGAAACATTAGAGTCAGATCGCACCCTCCATTGTTGTTTGATCCATATTGGACATAATGGGAGATGAGTAAAGAGAGCCACAAAGCCTCTGGGAGAATGTCCTATGGACAGATAAGACACAAATGTAACTCCTTTCCTTTGTACAAGAGCTCTATGTTCACAGATGCAAAAATCAAGAAAAGAAACATGGATAGGGGCTCCTCTTCCCTCCATAAAAAGACATTTCATCCGAGCGCTACGTTTTCCGAGCATGTAACCTCATCAATGACCCCTCACACCCCAACCATGCACTGTTCTCCCTGCTGCCCACTGGGAAGAGGCTTTGAAGCATTCAATGCAGGACCAGCAGATTCTGCAACAGCTTATTCCCCACTGCCATCAGACTGCTGAACTGTTGAAAAAACTCTAAATCATATCACAAACTCTGCATCACACTCATAACACCAAAACAAAACATACTGCATATTTGAACCATATATATTTAATGCTATGAGCTTCCATATCAATGCGTTTTTTTGCACCATGTTTTTTTCTCCCACATTTGATCACTGCTGCACCGTATGGAATGGAAATGTTGATTTAATAGCTGTACTAAAGGGAATATCGTTTTGTATACACTCTGTATACAAGTTGTCTAAGTCTAATTCTCTTATATGCTTTGCATCATAATATTAAATATGAGGGCAGCATAATTTTTGTCCAGGCCTCTTTCCTGGATTTATTTTTTAAATAATTTTATGATGCATGTTTGAAAAACAATTTCTGGCTTTCAATTTTTGATTTTAATTTAATATTTATGTATTACTACTTTGGCCATATTCAAGGTATTTCTGTGACCACTTTAGGTTTTTCTTCCATTAAATGAGGGTTGCCAGTAATTTTGCCTATTACTGCTTTCCATAAAATATGAATCCGTTTATATCATAGACTGAATTAACATTTTCTATCTGCAAATAAATTCTATTTATAAGTTAATTAGTTTTTTTTTTTTAAAGTTGCACTAGGTAGCACTTGCTGGAAAGTGACAAACAAACTTAATTGAATTGTGTTTTGGATATGAGAGAGCAGCTTATCAGTTGACTGAATTCCCTCTGTCAGGAATAAAAACAATGATAGACACATTTTTTCTGGATTAAGGTTGGTCTTTCAACTTATTCTACCTCAAATTAGATGTACCATTCATATTACCAAGTGTCAGCTGTGCTGTGAGAGCTTGGACACAGTGTGGGTTCCCTCCACAAGTCAAAAGCTCTGTCCTCCTCACCAGCCTGTTAGCAGCATCAGTCAAAAGCTTGCTTTCAGTGACTCAGCTCTTTGACTTCCTGCTCTCAAGCCATGATGACGCACAAGCGCAAATATCTCGCCTAATGTTTGTCAGGCACAATCCTCAAACATATTCAGATTCTCCACAGGAAGGTTGCTCAAATGGTTTCCTACAAGCAGAAAAAAAAGCAATCAGTGTTCTCATTGAAAATACTTTTGAAGACATAAATTTCCTTCATGTCTTTTAATCCTGTGAAATCTCATACTTGCTTTTCTGTTCTTTCCATATGACATGTCGTGCTGATCGTGATTAACCCTCTGACTTTTAATCTAGCCGTTAAATGGTTCCACACGCTGAACCCAACAGGATGAATTATGGCATCTGTGATGATGTCTTCAAATTTCATGAACTTTAATCGTTTCCAAATTGGTTTATGACCACATCAGTGAAAACCAGCAACATTCACATCAACCTCAGCTACGCTTTCAATGTAATTCCAAGAAACAAATCACAAAACAGTCACTGGAGGAGGAAAGATTTCATCACTGCCAATAAAGTCCTGGGGAAAATACAATATGACTCAACAGCTTGTATAATCACCTTAAGCTGGAATAACTTGAATTATCCACTTTATGTATGATGTTATCGGTCTATGACATCATTCTGAAAGCAAGTTTGATCCACTCTGCTTCAGTTTAATCAAGTTTGGAGATATTTCTTTCTGCAAACTTTTATTGTGGTCCCATTAAAGCATTTTGCTGTAGTTTGGACAATAGTTCTGTTTCATAACCCTGCATGAGCCAACTTTTAATGGTAGGGGCAGAACAAAAATTTGGCTGGGCTGGTTGAACTTTCTTGAAATTTGTCAATTTGCACCTGTTGGCTAAGGGCATAGTCTGCGGCTACAAAAGATCAAAAGCATATCATTGCACAAACATACAGTATCAGTCAGGACAAGCCTGGTTAGTAATCATTGCCTTTTACAAGTGACAACTTTCTCCAACATTCCCCATAAGATGTAAGGAGTAGTGCTGTGAGTCAAAAAATATTTTTTTCCAAAGAAAACATTCGTTCTGGATAAAATCTATAGAAGAATGCGTTGTGGTCTGCCTAAACCAAACAACTCAAAAACATAAAAAACTAAACAAAACAAAATTAAATCCTGGGCATCACCAAAGGAACACCACATGAATGGTTGTATTTCCTCAATTGGAAATTGGGTTTAGTCAACTTCAATGGAATTATGTCCCTAAACTTAGATGTCTGCTTTGAAGCTAAAGATAAAGTGTGTTTTGTCTAAATCATTGTGCCTTTAGGCATTCAGGCAAATAAACAAGAATTGGGGAGGAGAGGAAATTTAAAGATGGGGAATTATTTTGGCAGAATCCATAGCTAAATCAGACAAAAAAAAATCAGTCACTAGAAGATGGCTATGGGCAACAAATGTCCTCAAAATATAAAACACCTGGAGAGCACCTGGCATGTGGAAATCTTACACTATTCTACCAAAGACTACAAAGAGCAGAAGTTTAGTCAAAGTGTGTTAAAAAAGTTACCATATGCTTTTTTTTTTTTTTTTTTTTTTTAACTGTGCAAGATATACATTACAATGATTGGTTTATCCTGGTCTCAGTGTTTTACATCCTGTGACCTGAAGGCTCCTGCTTCACTTTTTGATTTTCATGAAATCATTTTTTATTTCACTATAAAGAAGATTTTTATGATACACATTATTCAAATTAATGCAAAAAGTCAAAAGGAAAGATTTCCTTTTAATTTACGATGTAGCAAGAAATACAAATAGTAGAAATTAAAATTAGAATGACAATAATTTAAATAATAATAATAATAATCATAAAAGAAAATAACACTTTGAAGAACATAGCATTTACCAAAGAGATAAAAAATTTATAAGCAACATGCTGCTTTAAAACTGACAGAGAGCTGACAGCTTTACTGAAGAACATATGCAATCCGCCCCAAATAAAGATATATCTCAGTAGAAAAACGATGTGCTGGAAACATCAGATTAAGCAAGATTTTAACTTCTGTTTTTGAGGAGGATTAGCAGTTATATAAAGAAAAAGCTGTTAGCGTTTGACTTATTGTACTTATTTATGCTTTATTTCATAGCTATAAATAAGGTCAGAAGAACTGGTGTTTGTATTTATTATCTTATCTACTTTTTTTTTGCAGGAGAGGATACATGGCTTATGGACATATTTCTTTTTAATTCACACATATGGATCTAGTTCTAGATGTTGTTTCCTGTGTAAAGATGATCCAGAGAGAGATCTTACCAGGCATGTGCACCATTCTGCAGTTGCACACACGCATGACCTCATTGGTCTCGCAGAGCAGGCGGCAGGCGCTGATGCTGTACGTGTCGTATCCTGGGAACTTCTCTTTGCTGGTGGAGCGGCAGTTCCCCCAGGGCTGGGGCAGGTAGGTCAGCTAAGCACATAGAGATTTATTAGACTGCAGTCTGAGCCACGAGGGGCGAGCGGTTTCAGGGAGAGCAGCATAAACAGCAGTGGTTGTCATGTGGAGGGTGCAGAGGTTGTATGCAGGAATGAATAAAGGGCCTACCCTTTGCTCCTGACATGAAACAAAGGTCTGGAATCCAGGGGAGACGCCGAAGCCCAGCTGGTGGATGTAGGGAGGCTCGTCTTGACTGTGAATCTGAACTCGGATGCCGGCCTCCAGGGACGTCTCATCTTCTCAACGAAACAGGGTGAAACAGAGCGTGAGAGTGCAATGGCGGAAGAGGAGAGAACGTGAGAATTTCAGGAGCCTGCATCATTTGACAGCTTGGACTTAGTTTGAAGCTAACTGCAAACCATATTTCAAGCAGGTTTAGAAATAAGCCAACAGGGAATGGTATTATGCAGCCGCGGTGGAAGCACAGATCAAAAGTAATGCATCTTGTTCAGGAATTCCCTTTAACAAATCCCATGTTTTCACATGTAACAGCACAATAAAAAAGCCTTAAAGAGAGCCTCGCAAAAGTATTGAAGTTGTGAAAGTATTTATTTCAACTGATGTGATAACCAAAAACTTTACTCTGTGGTAGAGATATTTCTCTTGATGATTGGATTGGCTTTTTTTTTCTCTCCTTCCTCAAACAGACACAAACCCTCTATGACAACAAACAGGAATCAGCCCATCTCAGGCTGGACTGACACCAGCTGCACTTTATGCACACACCTCAGCTGACAATACTTCCTATACTTTACTAGTACTTTCATTTCTATATACTTATGTTTTAAAGTTTATAAGTCTCTCTGATTTTTCTTCTAAGGATTTTTCTCCTGAGGTTTTAAAAAAATATTTTTTGTCTGCCTTTTATGTCTGCCTTTAAAGGCGTCTGCTGAAATGTTGTTCTGGCTGTATAATGACAACAAAGATTCCTGATCCTGGACTTTTGTTTCACTTTTGTTTGTGGATTAGTGCCACTAAAATTGACTGAACTGAAACTGAAGTGATTTTTTTTGTGTGTGTGTGTGTCACATTTGGACATTTAGACGACATTCTAACACATTTTTTATTTAATCTAAATTGTACTAGCTTTGTTTTTATGTTCGGTAGCATTGTTTTGCTAAAAAGTAAACCTCTGTCACAATTTCTAACAGGTTTTCACTCAGGACTTATCTACAGTATATTCATGCACCAATTAGCTAGGATCAGCTGTGAAACTCTGCAGCTCCTCCAGGGGGAAGATGACCTCATGGCTCCCTGTCTGATTAAAGCTCTCCTATCTCGATAGATGCCATGCTGTTAAATCCTAGTGCAATATGTTGAACATGTTTCTATTGAGAGTTACCAGAGTACAGAATTATGTAAAGTAAAAGTATTTATACCCCTGGAAATCTTTAAATCATAAACTAAAGTGGTTTAATTAGAGTTTTGACTTAAAAGGTTGTTTGGGTTAAAAAAACCTGTGTAATTTTTTTATCCACTTGGGGCACTAAACCTGACCATTTCAGTCTGAAATTAAGTGATAACTGCACACTGTTGCAAAATCCGTTATCTCTGATCAGGTGATTGTCATTGCTCTTGTGTTTAGGGGGAGCTCAGACTGTCATAAAGCAGCATCCTGGGTCACATGACCCATTCAAAGAAGGAACCAGAACACTGATGTTCTTGTTTTGACTAATTTTCCACCAGATAACTTATTGGCTGAAGGAAACCATAATTTTCAAACTAGATCTGCCAGAGGCATTCATCTTTTGGACTTAAGCATGCATAAGCACATGATATGAGTTTAATTTCTGAATTTGAGGTCCTTAAAAAACACAGACATGATCAATCATTCGTTCATAATTATATAGTCCTCTGCTTTGGTTAACTGGATAAGCTGCTAATAAAATGCACAGAAGTTATTTGCATGAATTCTTCAAGGGGTTATGAATACATGCATACATGTATATTTATGGCGTTTTCTATAGAAAACTGGATTTTTTTTTGTTTTTATTAAAAAAATACAGCAAATATATATCATACCAAATCATGAGACTACAACAAACAAATCATTCTGGGCCTTACTTGTCTCTCTCCAGATGGGCAGATACTCATCCTGCTGGATATCCAACATGATCTCCAGCCCATTTCCCATTCCACCCTGTTTGGTCTTTTTGGATGTTGTCTTGTTGCCATTAAAAGTGTAGCATTTCCCATATCTGGTGTACACCTGCGAAAAAAGAGAGAGATTCATATCTTCACTGCAAACATGACAGAGTTCACACGCTGCATGTGATGAGCAATGCATTGAAATGACTGCAGATATGGCATCAGGAAAAAATAAATAAACAAGCCCGAACAGACAGCTGAATATTACCCAGAAACCTCTGGATGCAGACTGCTGGCTCGGTCCCACATGAAACGAGATAAGCTGTCTTTGAATCAATTTCTGACACTACACAGCGCCGCTCAGCAGTACCAGCATCCCACCGTAGCGTCAAAAAGGAGTGAGACTTTTTTAATCTTTCTTCAAAAGGAAACAAAAGACAATAATAGAGAAGCTGCTTTAAATGAGCTATCACAGCTCCACCTATCTGGGGAGCTGTCTCGGAGGGGACACATCATCTCTTTGTTTATACCTTTCATTTAAACTGCTGCACTGCAGAAAAGATTCAGCTTACACACCATATGACTGCTCTCTCCTAAGAGTTTTAAAGGCACAAACTGTGATTCCCTTGCAAACAAAAGGGGTGCTGCAGCAAAGCCTACAGATTAAAAGAAAAATGAATTACACAGACATGAACACTAAAAGCTAACCTGCATGTGTTTGTGTGTTTTGGTATCATGGATATTTGATCCCAAGTACAGTTTGTTTGGGAAGGCTATTCAGCTGAGCACTTGTGAAATCCCTCTACTGAACTGTGAAGGTGCAATTAGCAACCATAACCAGGTATGGCAGGTGACCAGTTTTGGATCTTTCTGCACACTGATGCAGTGTACACCAGGCCCTTGCAAAAGTACCTTGATCCTTTTAAACTGAAGCTGGTGTATGTGTTTCTTTGTGCCTTTATCCTCCAAAAAGCACAACAGATGGATTAGTAAATCAGGTGTTTCTGTTTTTTTGTTGCATCTTTTAATGGATTTTCAATTAAAGCAAACATAATGATCCACTTCGTTGTTTATAAATGTGCAGAAAGTGAAAATAAAGTCTACATGCATTTATCATTGGCATAAATGTCAACCTAAAGATATTGTGGAGGATTTTTTAAAAGACCCGCCCTCTCCACTAGTATGCAAGTGCAAGAGTATGCATGAGCCCACGTCTCCTCGTGCACGCAAACAGATCCAGGTGGGAAACCAAACAAACCCTGCACTCAGCAACATTCTCCAGCTCATTCTGAATTAAACCAACCCATTGAGTTTCAGGTCTCCTCTGATTCGGACATCCTGAAAAGGGTTTGCTGGCTAATTTTAAGCTTCTGCAACATGGTGAAGCTTCTGAGCTGGGCAGGAACTTCCTACCGAAGACGCTCGTTTTTAACTGCTTGTATTGGGGAACTCCTCTAAATAGACAGACATGTATTTTCAGAGCTTGACTGCTTCCACTGCAGTTTTTTCCTTCCAAGAGACTGAAGCAATGCCTCAATTTCTGTAGAAGACCTTGTCTCTCTATCTACCTTCAGTCCCATTATTCCCTTACTACTGAAAACCTTAAGATACTTGAATGCAAAGACAATAACTGACTTCCAGCACTGAGGGAGACATGTAGGCTTTCCATTTAAGGTCCAAGCCCTCAGACATAGACAAATCTACCTGAACCACATAAAGTGTTTACTCATCATCAAGCTATTGGCATGTTTCTGGCAGAACATTTGACAACGTTGTTGGCAGAGCAAGCTCGGCATGATGGCGCCACCACTCTGGCTGCCAGCTGCTCCAATGTTCTTAGGTTTCAAAGCCTCACCTTGAGTCTTTTAAACATCCTTTCTCATCATTGTGCCCAATCTTTGTCTAATATGACTAAATCTCCAGAAAACATTTGGTAAGTCTGCATGTCCATCTGTCCCTCCATCATGGTGAACATTTGTATTTGCTGTTAAAAAAAATAAAAATCTGTGTAGTCAAGTCTCTAGCGAAAAACTGGGATATAAAACACAAGATGCACCCCACATTCAGTCATACATTTTATGAAATACTGCCACAGCATCAGTGTTTGCTAAAGCACAACTGTCTGTGCTCTGACTTTGATATCAGTTTGATATATCTAATGAGCCCTATGATGCCTAAATTAGGGATACCGGCTGAACAGCACAAGCTCTCATTTACAGACCACAGGGTGTATCCGTCTGTGAGACGGCGGAACAGCAAATCAAAGCCACTGTTATTGGATCCAGTCGAGTAATTCTACGGAACGGTGGGTAATTTTGCGATGTCCACAACAGTGATTAGAGCGAAGAAACGAGTGGCGTTTACAAAAAGCCGCTGCTCAGAGAGACAGCTGTATCTGTTTTTCATGCTGTAACAGATCTCTGGGCCTTTGATCATAGTGTTTGAGCATGCTAGTTTATGCTCGGTGTGTATACGTGTGTCTTTGAATAAACGACAAATGGTTACACTCAAATTGAGTCCTGAGGAACGGTTGACAATTACAGATTCAGGCTCAGATGTGGTATACACAGCCTTTCAGCTGCCTCTAACTAACAGCAAACTCCATATTTTTGTAAATTGCAACCTCTTTTCAGGGTAAGTGATTATAAAATGAAAGTTGGCAAAGGAGAGAGGGTTCAAGTACTCGAGTGTGACTTTTGACTGACGTGTGCTATTAGGCTGAAATGGTTTAATCTCTATTTGGCTGGTGCTGCGGAGGTAAGCTGCACTTATCATTGATTCCCCGCCTCCACCCGGGTTCATTGACACACTTAAGCCTCAACTGGAAGTCTTTATCTGATAGAGCGAACCAACCGAGGCAAAGGAGGATTTCACTTCAGAAGGGCTCCAGACACCCTAACCAAGTGCCTGGGTTCCGCTCTAAAACTTCTGCCTGTGAAGGACGCCTGTGTGTTCCCGAATGATATCTCCAGAGAGGATGGAGAATTTTTCCCATCATCTCCCCCAGGAAATGGATGCTGGCAGAGCTTCCACTGGTTTATTTCTCAGCTACTGAACCTTCCTCCGGTTTCTCTCCACATCAATGTGATTGATGGAGCATTTTTCTCCTGTTACATCTAGCACCGAATTTAGCAAAAGTTACAGGAATGACTCGGGCAAATCCCAACTGGGGACTTGGCTTTGCTGCTGACAAGCTGAAACAAAGCGGCACCCAGGAAGTTAGGCCCTGAAAGAAAGGATTTATTGTACTCCTTTGATTAAAACCAGAACTATCACAACAACTCACAGAGAACAGTTTACTTATGTGACATTTGGAGAATTTAAACAGTAGGCTTTGTTGTGCCAGTGTCAACAATGGTCTCTTACAGAACCCTGAACCCCACTTAATGGCTGTTTCTTAATAAAACATACTCTAACTAAGCTGCACTGTGTGTCATACGCTTTATTTACAGTACATTGCAAAATAGCTACAGTTTAGGAGGGGCATCTCGCCCAACCAGAGAACATTTAGGTATGCGCTCTACAGATTTGGCTGTTATTAAAGACTGACAAACAGAGAGGAACTGTTGAAAGATAGTCAGAAGTCATTTGGGCTGTTTGCTGCAAGCCTTTAGAGTGAAACAGCAGAGATATGGAGAAGCTGTCCTGGTAGTACCGGACTCTAAGCCAAATTTTTGGCCTTCATGAAACACTGAGTGTCACAAGCTGGTGCAAGCATCATGCTGAGGGCACAGGTAAAATGGATTGAGTTAATGGGAAGAGGTGTGGCATTAGAAACAAGACAGACGTGTAGGAAAAACAGTTAGAGGCCATGGCTTGGTTTTGCCTGACAATTAGCCTACACAAAAGATCTGAGCTTCAACGCACTGACTTGGATCAAAGCATATTGATAAGTTGGAATGGCCTATTCAAAGCCTGGAGCTACAATTGCTTCTGAATCTGGGGCAAGATCATGCGTGTCAAGCTTAAGACCTGCAGGGCAAATATGGCCCCACCATCATGGCAACCTATCCAGTTCCCAAGAGTTTAAAAAAGGAAAAATTATGTCATATAATTGATTCACATGTTCTCTAAAAGCGTACAAGTGGCTAAATCTGCTAAATAAATGAGAGTAAACTTAAAATAATAGAGCAATTTTCTATTTGAAAATGAAGTAATGAAATAAAATGTTTCCTTTATACTGCTGGAAAAGGCCTTTTAGAGGCATGATCACGCTGAAGAGGCCCATATATAAAAATGTTGGATGTTAACCATCTTTCACTCAGCTGACTGATTAAAGGGGCAGGAGAGCAGTTTCTTTAGAAGGAAAATGTTCATCAATTTTAGTGAGTAGATCTGGTAGAAACATAGACAATCTTTCTCTGCAACTGTTATGGCAGTGAAAGGTTGCTCTAGAAATTAGTGACTAAAAGAAGGATAATTATTTATACAACACCTGTCAGTTAGAGAGATTTCACAGATTTGCCATAAAGAAATAGCTTTGCACTGGTTTATTTAATTAATTCCCAGTAAAACACATAGAAGTTTATGGTTTCAATTATAGACAAATATTTGAAGGGATATTTTTCAAGGTTCAGTAAAACTCTATGTCAATAACAGGTGGAAGTTGGAATAGTAACTAGAAATAAAGGATTAGTATCTGCCTTTGAATGGCAAACATTTTCTTGTCAAATTATTATCAAAATCTTTTTTTTGTTAGGCTGACAGCTTGTTTTTGCACAACAAAATATAGCTGCAATGTCGTCCATCAGTAGTTTGCATAACTATTTTCATATAAATATAAAGCAGAACGTGGAAACATTAAAAACCTCTATGTTTTATCCTGCAGAATCCCGGCTCCTCTTATTGTCTTCTTGTAGCCTTGGCGGTTTTTCCTTGATCCTTCAAGGAGAAATGTTTCCCTCTCACATATTTCTCCTGCATTCTGTGCTGCGTCTGTAAACTCAATGATAGACTGTGCATGTTTATATTGTGAAAGCATTGAAACAGCATTTTAAATAAAGTTTTTTTTTAACTTATACAGACTGCAGCACGAATGTACAAAGGCATCAAAATAAAACCTTGCTTTCATTGTAGCAAAACACACTTTGGGAGATTTGCCTGAATTGATCTTATGAGCAT